CCTGACACCCAGAACTGGCCTCAGAGGCAGGAGTTGCAAAGAGGTTGCAGCCAACACAGGTGGCTGGTGTGAGCCACCTGCTGGTCACAGACTGGACTACCCTATCAGCAGATGCTGGAGAGTCCTCTTTTGGGGCAAGAAGAGGTCACAAAGCCCAGGGCTTCCTTACACAAAGGGTGAGTTCTGTGTCTCTGTCACATGTTGTCAGGGAGCAGTAAGCACTGGGGGCTGAAGCAAAGGAGAAAAGCAGAGAGGCAGGGGCTGGAGGGGAGAGAGAGTTGGCAGTGTCAGGGCCAGTGGGGTGTCCAGCTCACCATATTTGGCTGCTTTGGCGGCTGCTTTGGCTGCTGCTGCTGCTCCCACACCTCCAAGTCCTGGACAGAGAGAGCAAGACACAGATCAGAGACACATCTCCAGGGGTTTGGAGCCCAAGCTGAATTCTGCAACCTCCACCCCCTGCACTGTAAGGGCCAGGCATGGAACTGCCCACTGGTGCCACACTGGACCTCACTGCTCTCAGCCTAGACACCTCATGGCCTTGCCCAGAGGATGTTGGCTACTATCCAGGAAAAAGTGGTATGTAGGTGAGTGCCCTCCCAGCACAGGGTAGAGGAAACAGGACAGCACCAGCCCCCTGCCTACATGGGTGCTCTGTGGTTGATGAGGCCAGGCTGGCACAGCAATATCTGTGGGAGCCACTAATTCTTGGGAGCTACTGCGACACCAGCATGTGTCCACCCCCATGACCTGTCGTGCCCACCTTGCCTATGCTTGCAGTCCTTTGTGGGGTTAGGGTGCTCCATGTACCAGGAAGGTAGTCTGGCTTGCCTCTAGGACTTGTCCCAAATATACCTCTCCCATTCCTCTAACAATGGCTACCTCTAACCTTCAGTGGAGTCCGGAAGAGAGGCTCCCATTGCAGCTGCTACTCTGCTTCCTATGTCCCTGCTGAGTCCCTACTCTTCCCTCTTCAGCTGCATCTAGAGGTGGCCCATCCCTCCCTGATCTACGCCTTCCATCCCTCTGTCCATTGGGTTGCAGCTTCTTTCTCTGTGCAGTTGGGTGATGCCTGTGCAGCACAGCTGTGCCACCAGTATAGTTTCATAGTTTCATAGATTTAGGGTCGGAAGGGACCTAGTAGATCTTCTAGCCCGACCCCACGCCAGGGCGGGAGAACAACAAAACCCCAAAACAAAAACGGGACTCAAATGAGTCCAGCCAGGTAGGCATCCAGCCTCTTCTTAAAGACCCCCAGGGTAGGGGCCAGCACCACTTCCCTTGGAAGTTGGTTCCAGCTCCTAGCCGCCCTATGTCTTTCCTGCTGGGTTTGCGGGGGGAGGGAGTGGAGTGGCTTTAGTTCCTGCATCATTGCCCCATAAATGGAGGCATAGGCCTGTCCAGAGAGAGCAGTCAGTTCAGTCCCCCCCGACTGCAGCCATAGAAGCTGAATTGGTCTTGGTGCTGGACAGAGATAGGCATCATATCCCAAACTCATCCTGAGAGGGAAATGGTGAGATTCTATCCTGAGGGAGGCCAGGAGGTGCCACACTTCTATAGGGTGAGCTCAGAGACACCCATCAGGGATCAGAGGTACTCTTAAGCATGACAGCTATCTTGTATGGTGCTGAGGAGCCTAAGACATTGTCCTCTACCAGAATAAAGTGATTTTACCTCCAATGCCACCAATCCCGCCAGGCCCCAGTCCTCCAATTCCACCAATTCCTGGAGCCAAGGCCCCCACACCACCAGGTGCCAGACCTCCAATACCACCAGGTGCCAGGCCTCCCACTCCACCTATGCCTGCAGAAAGAATGAAGGGTGAAATGCAGCCTGGCCAGGAAGGCAGGGGAGAAGTGACACATGCCTTAGAGTGACCTAGGCAGGAAGTGGGGATCTGCCATAGTAGAAGCAGGCTGAGTTGTGGTGGAGAGAGACTCTCCCACAGTGCAGAAAGGGTCTGGGAGAAGAGCTGGTTTATGCAGGTGTCTATATCCCTATATAGTGGGATGAGTGTGAGAAGGAGGGACAGATGGCTAGGGATTGGCATACTTGGAGATGGATGTAGAAAGGGGTGAATGGATGGACAGTGAATGAACAACCCCTGTGGATCACTGTGGGACTTGGCCGGTTCCTCACTGCAGGGAAGTGGAGTTTCCCAGCTGCTTCCATAATGGGCCCAGGACAGATTGAACCCTGCAGAGTTTCTGAGTGCTGAGTCACACACCCTGCCCTTTGTACATGGCCCACCAAAGCATCTCTGATACCAGATGGGTAGCTGAGCAGGCTTTACACAGCATGTACCAATGCTTCTGGTCTGCCCCCAGTTGGCCCAGTCACCTTATCCCTGCTGTGGAGGGACCACACTCTTCTAAGGTGGGTGGAGGACAATTTGTGCGACCTCCTGAAAGCCTCAAGCATCAGTTTTGGCCAAGAACTGAATCTTGGTATGGTGCCACTCACACAGGGAGTCACACTGGAGCTAATCTGAAGAGAAGCCAACTCACCATACTTGGCGGCCTTGGCAGCTGCTTTGGCAGCTGCAGCTGCCGGACCTCCGACACCTGGGGATAGAAACATACATGGGGAGACCCAGGGATCTGTGACATATTCCCAGGGGACCTATCAATTTCTCCCATCGGGCGAAATGACTATCCTGGAGAAGCCTATACCAGTGTGAAACACAGAGACAATGGGGCAAACCTTGACCTCCTTACCACCCAGGCCTCTTGGGCGCTGTGGGGACTTTTGCCTTCTCCTGCAACAACCATTCTAAGTCACTGCAGGAGCCAGAGTCCTAGAACAGATGGCAATGCCTGCATCCCAGTGATAGCACATTTTACCTCCAATGCCGCCTACGCCTCCAACACCAGGCACCAGACCTCCAACACCACCTGGCACCAGGCCACCAACACCACCAATACCAGCCCCTGGTAGCCCTCCAGCTCCTGTTGGGAAGTTCAGTAGAGAGATCAGAGCAGGAGGCAGTGACATTCTTCCATGACCTTCTGTACTCTGGGGCTACAATGGGTTTGTTGGCACTGGAATTTCAAGTGACGGGGCTAGAGATCCTTGTTCCCAGACACTCCTGCACAAGCACACAGCCTCCTCCCCAGGGTTACCTCTGATTGCTGTAGGAGTCTGGCTGGAGTAGGGGCCCACACCCTTTCCAGGCCACTGCCATGCCAAGTACCAGGGCACCAGTGAAGCCAGTGAAGTACCCATACTCTCTGCCCAGCTCTGGCTGAGCTGCAGCTGAGCCTTCTTGGCAGAATCAAAGAATGGAAGGGGGATCTGGGATGAATATCTGTTTGTCCCAAGCCCACCAAGGCATTCTTCCTCTCTGCTGAGTCCTGCAGTGCAGTACAGTGGCAGCTGGTGCCTATCTGCACACCACGCCAGGAAGCCTACTGTGATGGGTTATCTAAACCAGTTGGATCATGGGACTGAGAGAGTCAGTGCCCGAAGAGAGGACTCCCCTCTGAAATTGGAGATAGCCTTAGGGAAGGGTTTGGCTTTCTACCTATATAAAAGGAGGCACCAACTCACCATAGGCTGCTGCTTTGGCTGCTGCTTTGGCTGCCGCAGCTGCTGCTGGGCTTGTAACTGATGGACAAACAAGAGAAAGAATAAAGGGCCGAATCCAAGGAGAATGCTGCCCTCATGCCCATCTGCTAAGCCCAGCAAGTCAATTCACCTCCAGCTCCTGGAATACCTCCAACTCCAGGCACTGTACCAGGGACAACTCCAACACCAGGTATTGCACCAGGAACACCAACACCAGGAATACCGCCAACACCAGGGACACCTCCAATACCAGCAGCTCCTGCAGAGTTAGAGGAGTGAAAGCCCGGTTTCAGTTGCCGAAATGCAGTAATTAGAACATAGGGTTGTAAATATTGAGGGGGAACTGAGCTGGTTTTCTTTGCCCTTATCATGATAGGGCACACTGAAGGAAGATGGAGCGACCTCATCTTATACCATACTGCTACTGCATCTCACTGCAGAGGGACAGTCCTGTGAGATAGGAATTCATTCTCCTTAGCTAAGAGACAATGGATACTGTAAAGCACTGTTCCAGTAGTATCTATGGGTGTTGTTAAACAACAACTGCTGGAATGTGCAGCACTGAGTGACTTATACCTAAGAGTTTTAAAAGAATTGGTTGAAGAGATTTCTGAGCTATAGGTGTTGCTTCTGGGTAAACAATTAGTAAAAAATTAAGGATGACTGCATAATTATCATAGTTTTATGGAAAATCAGTCTTGCCTCACTAACTGGATAACATTTTTTTATGAAACTATATATTAAATTGGGGAAAAAAACTGCATGGATATAGTAAATGTGATGGATTGCATCCTAAGCAAGTTTGTAGACTGCACCAAGCTGGGGGCTGTAATAGATACACTGGAGGATAGGGCTAAGATTCAGAGTGACCTAGACAAATTAGAGGATTGGGCAAAAGAAATCTCATGAGGTTCAACAAGGACAAGTGCAAAGTCCTGCACTTAAGACAGAACAATCCCATGCACTGTTACAGCATGAGGACTGACTGGCTAAGCAGCAGCTCTGCAGAAAAGGACACGGGGTATAAGCTGGATATAAGTCGACAATAGATTCATAGATGCTAGGGTTGGAAGGGACCTCAACAGATCATTGAATCCGACCCCCTGCTTAGGCAGGAAAGAGTGCTGGGGTCAGATGACCCCAGCCAGATGCCTATCCAGCCTTCTCTTAAAGACCCCCAAGGTAGGGGAGAGCACCACCTCCCTTGGAAGCCCATTCCAAATTTTGGCCACCCTCACTGTGAAGAAGTTTTTCCTTATGTTTAGCCTAAATCTGCTCTCTGTCAGTTTGTGACCATTGATCCTTGTTACCCCAAGAGGCACCCTGGTAAACAGAACATCTCCGATCCCTTGCTGCGTCCCTCTAATGAATTTGTAGGCAGCCACAAGATCACCGCTCAGCCTTCTCTTGTGGAGGCTGAAGCGGTCCAGGTCCCCCAGTCTCTCTTCATAGGGCTTGTCCTGTAAGCCCCTAACCATACGAGTGGCCCTCCTCTGGACCCTTTCGAGTCTATCAACATCCTTCTTGAAGTACAGTGCCCAAAACTGGACGCCGTACTCCAACTGCGGTCTGGCCAATGTCCTCCTTGGTCCTCCTTGGCATCTCCTTGGTATCACCTCCTTAGTTCTATTTGTCATGCATCTGCTGATACATGATGCAGTCAGCTTTGCTGATGATTTCGTCACACTGATGACTCATATTCATCTTGGAGTCCACTATGACTCCAAGATCCCTTTCCACTTCTGTGCTGCTGAGAGAGTCATTTCCCAGCCAGTAGGTGTGCTGGATATTTTTGTGCTCTAGGTGCAGCACTCTGCACTTGTGCTTTTGGTACTGCATCCTATTGTATACTGCCCACTTTTCTAACCTGTCCAGGTCTGCCTGCAATTGCTCCCTACCCTCCGGAGTGTGCACTTCACCCCACAAATTAGTATGATTCACAAACTTGGACAGAGTACACTTCATACCACCATCCAAGTCACTGACAAAGATATTGAAGAGCACAGGTCCAAGGACTGAACCCTGCGGGACCCCACTACCCACATCCTTCCAGGTTGATACCGACCCATCTACTACCACTGTCTGGGTGCAACTGCTAAGCCAATTTGCCACCCCCCAGACCGTGTAAACATCTATGTCACAGCCTCTTAATTTATTTATAAGGATAGGATGGCCATATCAAAGGCCTTGCTAAAGTCCACAAAAATGACATCCACCTCTACTCCTGCATCTAAGTATTTTGTGACCCTGTCATAAAATGAAACCAGATTGGTCAGGCATGATCTACCTGCTACAAATCCATGCTGGTTTCCCTGCTGATTATTTTTCCTGCTGGACTCCGACAAATATGCTATGTCATAATCTTTTCACAAATTAGGTCAGTTCTGGATTGCACAAGCAGCTGGACTTTCTTGAACATGATGCATTTTAATACTACTAACAATATGGTTGTGCATCTAGGAACAGAAATGTAGGTTACAGTTATCTAATGAGGGACTGTGGTTTGGAAAACTGACTCTGGGAGGGATTTGGGATCACAGTAGAAGCCAAATGAATATGACTTTCAGGGGTAACATTTTAGCTAAGAGGGTAAGCATAAGTCTGTGCTAGCAGGGTAACAGGTAACTGAGTGGAAGCAGGTAACTGGGTGGAAACAGTGAGATGATGGTATTTTTGGATGTGGAGCTGGTGAGACTGTTGCCTGACACTAAGCCCAGTCCTGGTGCTCACACTTCACAGAGGGCTTTATACAAATGCAAGGAGCTCAGAAGAGCTGGCTGAAAAACTGAAGGAGTTGGGGCTGGTTCGTTTATCCTAGGGAAGGTGCAGCAGTGAGTTGATCTCAGCCTGTAAGTATCTAACGGGAGCAGTAGTTCTCTGATCCAGGAAGCAAAGGCACAGAAAGGCCTCAGACCTAGACACTGAAGCAAGACAGGTTCCATCTGGCAGAAAAGTATGATTTTTCCCCAAGGAGTTAATTACCTGGTGGAACAATCTGGGAATTCTGTAGCCCCTGCAGATTTTACGCCAAACATAGGTGTCTCCCTCAAATTTCTGTTCTACCTCAGGTAAAGCCCCTGGCCTCCAGGCAGGATTTCTTAGGTGATGCCCTGGGTTACAATGTGCAGGAGTCAGGTCACTTCAGGCTCTGAAATCTCTGAATCTATGGCCTTTGTCCCACCCTGTGCCAATGGATCCAACACTGATCATTACACTGGCCAGCACTATGGGAAGGATGGCAGCAGTTTACCTTTGGCATTTTGTATATTATTCAGGCTCTACGGTTCAGACATGCTCACTTCTCTAAGGTATGGAGAATCCAGACCCCTTCAGCCTAAACCAGAGGAACCTTTGGGAATCACAATACTCACTTGCACCAGGATGTAAACTTGTCCTCAGTATTCCCACTGCCCAAAGCTTACAGGATTCTTAAGAGGGCCTGAAGGAGCCTGGGCTCTAGCTAAAGCTGGGCCCATCTCACTCACTGGCATTGGTATTATCCACGTCTAAAGCAAATCTAATGTCTGGAGCTCCCTGCTTCATGCACAAGTGTCAGGTGAGTGCTGGCTTCCCTGCTACCTTGAGAAGGGGCAGGGGGAAGGAGGGAAATTGGGAAAGGGCTTATTGCAGGGCCTCCTGAGTGTAAAAGCATGTGTTTAATGGGTCTCTCCATGAGCACCAAGGTTTCATGGCTACCCAGTCACCTCAGAGAGGGGGCTCTGTGGGAAGCAAGCTGCTAACTTACCATACTTGGCTGCTTTGGCTGCTGCTTTGGCGGCTGCTGCTGCTGCTGGGCTTCCAGCTCCTGGGGAAAAAGCAAGGTGGGGGATTCTCAGAAACCTTACAGCACATACCCAGTGGGAACAGAAAGCACCAGGCTTGCCCCTCCAGTGGGTCAAGCACATTCACCTGGCACCCCCACAGCTCCTGGGACACCTCCAATGCTAGGCAGCAAACCAGGCACTCCCCCAACACCAGGCACCACTCCAGGAACAGCACCAGTACCAGGCAAGACACCAGTACCTACAGAGAGGGAAGAAGTGAGACACAGAAGTCAGCAAATGCATAGAAGAAAAGAAATGCTCCAAGGGAGAGACAGGGAGCTAAGTGCAATGTCTCTGTATCCCCAGAGCAGGCACATGGAGATAATAGACCCCCCACTTACAGGTGAGGGAGCATCCAGGCAGCAGCATTGAGGGAAGCCCAGGAGAGACTTATAGTCCTGGTTCACCAGTGCAGCTTGAACCCAACCTGCAGTGGCAGCTTCATACGGGAGACACAACAGGGCTCCACTGTCTGGGCTCCTCCACTCCTGATGTCTGCACAGGCTTCAGTGGCCTGACCACGATCACTACCCAAAGGGACTGTGAATGGGAGTTTAGCTTCCTGCTGTAGCCACAAAGCTAAGGGACTCCACAGAGGGGCAGCCTCTTTTGGACAAAGCTATGTCTATGAGCTGATGTCCAGGTTCAGTACTCTTCCCTATACACACATTGCCCATACAGAACCCGCTTTGCCCCACCCTGGCCCTTCTGTCCTGGGCTGGGGCTTTGGAATTCACCTCTACATTCATTCAACCCTTCTTGTGCATCTCTGTGCTCTCCAGGCTGTACTAATGGGCTGGGAGTCAGGACTCCAAGGTGGAGATGAAAATCCCTTCGAAAGTCCTGGCATGCCCCGAGACACTCTGCAGATCAGGAGGATCAGCTGCTAGGGTTCATTCATACAAGGAAAGGACAAGCTATGGAGATCTATGTCTCATGATCCCTCAACCTTTCTTGCTCACTTTGGGAGTGCACGCACCTCCAGCTTCCTGTACCAGATGCAGGGCACTGTTAGCCAGGAAGCATTTCCAGTACTAAGCTGTTTGGCTGATGAGTCACTAAAGGACAGTCCCACATGCTGGAGTCTACTTTTGATAACTCAGGTGAACATTGCCAGAGACAATGGCATTATATGGGGCAAGCAAGGAAAACACCAGGCTTTCCTTGTCCACATTTGTGTGTTAGGCCTGGGCCTCTGCCAGACCTCACACCATAGCTTAGGGCCTTCCTAAGCCCAGACACAACCTACAGCCCAGTACTGCTGAAGGTACAAGTTGTACATGTGTGTTCCCCTTGCTGAAAGTTGCTAAATGTTTGCAAGAAAACAGATCCATAACCCAGCCACATTCTTAGCTTTTGCGCTCACACACAACAAGAAAACCAGACACAGCCTGGAAGTCAGGCTTTCAGAGGGCTGTAAATCATGGACACCTCCCACTTCCCTCAACCCCCACCCTCCTTCATTTCACCCTGACTCTCCTCTCAGCTACAACCAGATGATGCCCTGAAGCTACTAGAGTTCTCTTGAAGAAACACACAGCTAAGAGCTATCCTGAAGGGACACCCTCTCCTGTAGTAGACACAGTCATTCCTCAGTGGTGCTTTGGTTCTGCTCTGAACAGCACCTGTGCCAGCCCCACTGACCCCTTGGCAAGGCTCCAAATTTATACCCATGCAATAGGGATAGAAGCTGGGTTTTCTCTCCTTCTTTCTTGTTTCCTGCCCCTCTATGCTTTCCATAGAGATATGAGCTGAGATATGAGCATGGGGTTTGATGTGCAGGTACTCGTGCTGTTGTTTCACCCAGGAAAACGTGTCAGTCTGAGCAATTCCCACACTCTCTGCTAAAGAGCCAAACTGCAGAGCCCATTCACTGGGGTTTGATCAATTATTTGTTTTGCACCTATTTAAAATGTTTTCTTCATGAGGAGGAACAAGAAGATGCCATTGTAGCCAGAAGCTTCCACTTTAAGAGTACAGGTTTCCCCCGCTTTATGCAGTACATGCTTTCCCGGAAAATTGCACATAACTTAAATTTGCATAAAGGGAACCCAGTTTATAAGGTAACAAATAGGGATACGTTCCTGTGGCAGTGAGAGAGGGAGGGAGGGAGGGAGGGAGTGAGTAAGGCTGGGGCAAGAGAAGG